ATGTGTCTGGCAGTTAAAATATGTACTGCAAGTAATGCTGCATATATTGAAACTCAACCTTGGTGATTGTGCCCCTTGTAGGTAGACCCTGGACCTGGGTTGCAAGGATGAGTTCCCACTCTTCTTTTCCCAGATATTTTTTAAGCGGCTGTGTCCACACCACTGATTCCTCTGTGTGTGGTGCTTTGTTTGTATGCCTGCTGTTAAGGAGAGTGAAACATAGGAGGTGCCTTAGAAATATTCAGAGTAGTGACAATACCAACTCTTGTTGCCTATTTGCTCTTTTGCTTTTAATGAAAATGGAAAGCAAGTTACCTTACCTGATACGGGAGACTACTGCAGCAGCAGTTATTTGTATCCACAGTGTTTTAGATAGGCAAGTCTTGGTTTCATTTGGCAATTAATGTGAAGTGTCAGTGCTCATAGCCTGTAAAAAACAAAGCACTTGCACATCTTCAGTGGTCTTGGGTAGAAAGGGATGGGAAATTCAGGATTAGTTCCTCCAGGCCTTGCTACCTCCTTCAGTGAAGAACTGGGAAAAATGCCTTGCCTGTGTGATAGCTTTAACTTCATTATAATGTAGTTAATAGGGTTGTTAATTTCAACCTTGAAATATACAAAAGCAGCCTTTTTTTTAAATTCTAGGAGGAGGGAATTTGCCATAAAGTTTATGATTACTCCTTGAGAGTTTTTATCGGTGGACATTTAGAAGAGCGGCAGCGTCCAGCAGCGTTGAGCTGATTGTTCCCTTTCAGTGCTGGAGATAATTCTTCCCATATGCTTCAAACTACAAGAGAGATTTGTGGTCTGATTACTTTAATAGTTTTTAGTAATGGGCATGATTATACATGGCTTATTAGCAACATTCTGGAAAACTATCGCTGGTTATAAGCCATTCTCTGTTCTTAGTGAAAATCACAATGATTTATACAAATAGAGGCCAAAGGATTTATTCCCTTCAAATACAGAACTCAGACAAGATCAAGGTATTGAGGAAAATTAGTAATTAGCTAAGGTTTCCATAGATATTCCCTTAAACTTGCTTATCTGTAATCCTGAACTGCCTAAATCTGGGATTTCTTTCTTCTGCCTTCTTCAGGATTTGTGCTTTATTTTGTTCTTCAGGGATTCTTGAACACCACATTACTGAAGCTGGGATGTGCATGGCTTACAACTGTGCAAGCCTAAAAATGTCTAAAAGATGCTTACTCAGTAGTGGGCCTTGTTTCTGCAGTCAGGTGGGGGAAGGTGGTAAAATTCAGCCATTAATATTAATTTCTAATATAAAAATTCAGTTTGAAATAGCAGCTGGCTAATAGCCCTTATAGCAGAATGCAGGCGGTGCTCATTTACATCATTTTAACTGCTTCTCTGCTAATATGTTTCCCAGTGGGTTTTTTGTTTTTTGTTTTTTTTAAATTATCCCTGTTTTAATTTCTTATGTAGGTCTTGTGATCTCTTGAGCTAAAAGTTAAAGGTTTCCTTCAGTCACATCTGCTTTGCTTTCTTGGAAGTTGTCACGGGGTACTATATTGATTGCAGAGGAGGGGGAAAAGTTGTAATTATGTCCAGGTGCATTTGGTTACATCCCTTTTTTCTTTCTGAAACAGATCTTGATTCAATACAAAATTAAGCTATAAATGTTATTGAATATAGTACAAACTAAAGCTTAAGTAAAATGGCATGTAGAAATAAGACACAACTGGCATTTGTGGGAAGCAGTGGTATGCAGCTTTTGAAAACGAGACAACTCTTCTAGTTTTCAGTAATTTGGCTTCAGATAGTGTTTTAGAGGATTTAGTTTTTATTTTGTATCATTACATTTATCATTCAGGATATTTCCTCTGTGTAGATATTTGCTTCGGCTGTTGTTTTTAAAAATCCAGTTGATGTCTCCTTAAGATCCCTTTTTGTTGTTAATTACCAGTCATAAGAAAACAGGCAACATCAAAGCCTTCTATCCAGTTAAAACTGTGAATGTGTAAATGTACAGCAGGTTTATAGTAATTTCATATTCTTTAAAGCATGAAAGCTCAATTATTTTCTGTCAAAGATGGTTTTAAAACGACAACATTTTCCGTCGTTGGCTTTTGTATTGAATATACAGCTGGGAAGTAGCTCAGCACATGGCAAGTGAAACTGGAAAAGGGAAGGATCTTTTATCATTGTATCTGCAAAGCCACAGGAATAGATACACATACCATAAAAATATGTAGCAACTACCACTAGGTAGAGCAGTGTTAGCGGCTGCGTCCTCTTCAGTGCTTAGGGAGGCTAGCTTTTTGGAGAAAATTAAATTGGGAGTCAGTGAACAGAAGGCAGATCCCTCTCCACATGCAATGTCTACATCCACTTCTAGGAAACTTTTCAATCCCCACTTGTTCTGATCAAGTGAGCAGTTGCTGTGTTTTGCTAGTGTAGTGTTCCTCTGACCTTGACAGGTCTTGAGGCTGTATCACTTCATTTGACTTAAAGATCAGGACAACAGGTTTAGGATGTATGACTCTGTGTGTAGTCATAGTAGTTAACAGTCCTGCCTCTCCCTGATCCTCCTCTGTATAGGAGAGAACACTTATTAGAATACAGTAAAAAAATGCAGCTGCAGGAATGCTACTGGTAACACTTCTTTTTTGTTGAAAAGGAAGGCAGAACTCGTTGAATTGAGTTTTATGGGAGGGAGGGATGGGGAATCTAACTAATTTAGGTATTTGAAATAGTGAATGCCTTGTAATTTCTAAGGAGAGTCATTTGATGTTATAATTTTAAACCTCTGTGCTAACAGAAAGCTTGATGAGATAATGACTTTCTACAATAACCTTTTGGAATCAAAATCAGGACTTTAATTATAGCTTGGCTCACGTCTGAACGACTGTATTGCCTTCTAGACTCTTGACAAGCTTTGTCTGTGTTACCAGTGAGCTCTCAGGTTTGGCACTGTGTTAGATCGAGAGGCATTTGAACACCAGAAACATTTAGAGAAGAGGATGAAGGGACGTAAGCAAGACTATGTGGCATTCCCTACTCTTGTTTTACTGCAGTGGTTTTGTTTTCTTTTTATTTCCTCTTTTATTTCTAAATGGGGCAGGGAGTCAGGGAGAAACCTGCCACCTGCCTTGGCTGGCTTTGATTAGCGCCTCTAAGTAGACAGCCTGCAGTAATCTTGACACTGCTTCACTGCACTGGAAACCCCAGGGCTAATTTAACATCCTGTTCTGTACACAAAAAAAGTGGATACATTTTGATTCACAAGAAAGGAGCTAGGAAAGGGGGAGCATGGAAACTCCCCATAATTTCACCTTTCCCTTATCTCTTGGGAGAGTAATACTGAGAGTGAAACAAGGGTAATGGGGACAGGTCACTCCAGTGTCAGATCATATTTTGCTGAGGCAATCACTTTACATTCCTCAAGGAATTTGTAACACTTTCTGGACATTCTCCTGGTTTGCAGGAGGGGAGCTTTGAAGGAATCAGGTTTGAGGTGTGGGTAGAAGAAAGGTAACTCATGATATAACCAGACTTGTGCTTTTCACCTCAAATGTCAGGAGTGTTTGAAAACTGGAGAGAAACCCCTCAGACCTCCCAGTGATCTTCAGTCTGTGCCTTGCTCCCCACCGAGTGAAGAAAATACATCTCTGCCAATGCAGAGCAGCAGGCTGCATGGTTAGTGGTCATGTTGTGAGCTTCTTATTTCTGTAGCCATGCCCTCATCCTTCACTGAGAGGGGAGGATGTTGTGCCCGCAAGATCTATTGTTGCCTTTCAGAGCTCCTGGGGCCATTTCAGACTGTGTTCTTCTTTAGTGCTCATGGCAAATGGGATAAGGTTTGGCCCTTAATGAATGATGATAAATGTCCCATTAAGTCAGAGGGTTTTCCACTTTGATGTTAAAAGAGGCTTGTTTGTGATTGTTTTTGCTTTTACGAAGAAGTTTTATTTTACAGATGTGGTCACTGTAAATTCCAGCTGGTACCTGTGTGTACTTATTTTTCTATCATATATGTAATTGGTCTTCTATGTGTGCAGTAAATATGCATCTACATGTAAAGACACAAGTTTTGCCATGACGCACTGTGCAATTAAAGTCGTAGCTCCCAAGCTCAGTGAAAATGACCATAGACTAAACAGCTTGCAGGCATCTATACAGCTTCCCCACACACATGCACACAGCATTCCCAGTAACACTCAGTTCCTTTTTTTAGCTGTTTTAAAATTAATTTTGAAGGTGAAAACAATTATATAAAGGCCACTTGCTGTAGAGATAACAGTAATAAACCAATATTTATAGATTTTTTAGGAATCTGAATAGGTTAAAGTAGAATTATGAAGGATGCTTGCTTGTAACATTGCTGCTCAGTCACCAGTGGAAATCTGTTGTTTGTTCTTTACTGTGAGGGTGGTGAGGCACTGGCATGGGTTGCCCAAAGAAGTAGTAAGTGAGCCATACCTGGCACTGTTCAAGCCTTGGGCGACATAGTCAAGGGTGAGGCGTCCCTCCCCTGATGGGTTAAACTAAATGATCTTAAGGTTCTTTCCAACCCAAAGTGTGAAGTAACAAACTATGAATTTCAGGTGCTCATCAAATGATAAAATAGCAATGGTCATTTACAGAACTCCTCAGACTCCAGCCTAAAGGTTAAAACTATAGTGGTCTCTGTATAAGTGGACAGAAAAGTGACTTGACTGCATTGTGTCTGCTCACTGTGGAAGGACATCTGACAAATCTTTAGACATGAGTACTTCTACATCAGGTCCCACACTTTCATAGTTTAAGGTTGCTGTTAATTCTGCCACGTCCTGAAAGGCGTGAACGTGTGGTATGTGGAATTGTAAGAACCCCAGTGAAAGTAATTGTGATTTTCTACAGTGTGGTTGAAGTTTCTATGTAAAAGAGTGTGTATGAGACAACTGCAAAGCTATCCCTGCTAATATTGGCCAGACACAAGGGATTCATGTGTTACAGATGGAAACAGGATTGCTAAAGATTGATATATTTCATTGCAGATGTGACGAATATGTCACACAGTTGGATGAAATGCAGCGGCAGCTTGCAGCAGCTGAGGATGAGAAGAAGACTCTGAACTCCTTGCTTCGGATGGCTATCCAGCAGAAACTGGCACTGACCCAGCGGCTGGAGCATTTGGAGCTTGACCATGAGCAGTCCAAAAGGGCACGTACAAAATCTTCCAAAGCCAAGAGCAGTAACCCAGGCGTAAGTCATATTCAGTCCTGCGGAGACAGGTCTGAAGGATCTGTCCTTAACAACCAGGTTTTTTGTAATGAGAAATATAAAATCTATTGTGACTAGGACAGGTATGTAGAAAAATCACATTATGCATCTTATCTTATGCTGTAACTGTCAGCGTAAATCCCCACTATCTAATGTCACAGTGAGTTGGCTTGTACTAGTATGTTGTTGAACCAGGTAATACAAATTGTATTATGGTGGTCTTAACTGTAACTAATTCGTAAGTATGGGGATGCTATTAACAAGTTAATAGTGGAAAGGAATTAGCTTTTTTCCACAGTTAACATGTATGGGTTTTGCTGTTTATGGTGAGTGTTAAAAGAGTACACCTGATATAGCATATCTGGTGCTACTAATTGTAGTTTGTGTAGTACAAATGTGATCCTTTCTCCAGGGTTGCAGCATACTTCAGGAAAAGCATTTACAGGCAGAAACAAACAGAAAACCTTCCTTGTTATTGTGGCTTAAGAAGTGATGAAAAGCAAATGTTAAAATGCAGAGCATTTTGAAACTGGAACCAAACTTAATTTGCCTGTTGTGGCAGATATTAAGAACTTGCTGTCAGATCATCACTGTCCAAAGTCCTAAAGCTTTTATAGGCTATAAAAGCTACAAGGAATATTGGTAGGGTATGTTATTTACACTCTGCTTCCCTCTCTTCAGAGGGTTAACAGAATAAACTTGCACATTTATATTAAAAATACACAATATTTACCCCATCTGATATAAAACTTTAAATTTGAAGAATTGGGATCCTATGTGGTAGACAGTTCCACTTTAAGAAGTTATGCTGTGGAAAAGTGTCATGTCCTGAAAGGATCTTTGTGGTCTGATATTGCTCCTTGCAAAGATAACGCTTTGAAAAGAATCTGTTTTATGTATTACTGTAGCCACACAACATGTATGTGTAGAATTAATGTGACTATGGTCTAGTATTGTCAGTCACAAAACAGGTTTTCTCAGCTTTCAGTATTAACCTAAATAGGGTTAGTATTTCAGAGCTCTGATCATTATTTATTTTTTAAATGCACAAAAGATACTGCATTCCTTATGCAAGCACATGTTTCATAGGGCTCTACATTATAGGCACAGGAAATTGAACCAGATCATTCTGCTAATAATTATTTATGAAGTAGCTTAGTATACATGTTAATCTTTAAAAACAAGTAAACCTTTGTCTGCTGTTAAACTTCTAAGAGGCCTTTTTAGCCACTTAATTACAGTATATTTGATAATATAGAAGTGTACTTCATAATTGGTGCCTACATAAGAGAAAAAGATTGAAAATGTTGCTTCTAAAATTGTGGAAAACTTGTGGAGCACAGGAAGGCACGCTTCTCTAAACCAGAGTTTTAAAGTGCCTCGAACTTTATTTTAGTGTAAAGCCCTGTTCATTTTGTACTCTTTCAAATAATTTTGTATGCCTCTAGTATTACTAAAAGCAGTGTGAGACTGCAAGTTGTCTGCTTCGTTGTGCTGTTTTATAATGCCATTCTAATACTCCTGGTGTGGTACTGCCTCATCTCACTACCATTTCTTATAGATGATCAGCAGCTTGCTTCCTGCACATTGCCACTCTGCTTATAAGTAGTCAGGAGATATCACAGTACTAATACAAGGTAATAAGGAGCACAGCTTGTTTTTCTAGTGAGGGGAAACCAGAGGGGATTTTGGCTTCCCAGATATTGGGGGATGGAGAAGAGGAAGACTTCTAAATTCATGCAGGGAGACTTTAAACAAATGGAATATTAGAAACCTTGCTACAAAGCTGGGAACATTGGAACACCACAGCTCAGTGCCAGAATTGCATTTATCATTATTGAGAGGAGGAAAAAGTGATTTAACTGTAATATGTTAACTTCATTAGTACTCATATATTCTCAAACTTCACTGCTTGATAAGTTTAAAGAAATAGCAATTCTGGCTTTAGGAAACCAGGCCCTGTGCATCTAGTATTACTTTCTTTTTAGAAAACATTGAGTTCTCCTGAATTTGAGCTTTAATATTGCTAAGTAGCAGGTCTGATATTTTAGAAGCGAGACATCTTTTAACAATTTTCAATCCTGCTTTTCGTGTTACTGCACAATCTTCCAAAAGGCCTTTATTCTTCTCATTGTTGCATTAAGAATAATTTAAAAATACTTTGTAAAAGCCACATTTGAATGCTAACTTTCTCTGCTTCTATAGAAACAGTTACAATTTTGTTTCCACTACTAAAGGTAGGAATTTTTAATACGCTTTTCACTGCTTCCATGTCTCTAACGGCAGTAATTTTGCAAAATACTAATGGCAAAAAGGTAAATTGGAAACCATAATTGGATGCATTGTTAGTTTATTTCAAATTAATTGGAACTTTCTTGAAAGATTTCAGTGTTACCACCACAGTGGTACCAGACAGTAGTACCCCAGACTATTACTATCAGTCTTGACTCATGCTTTTAGTTCCAAGTAGGAACAATTTTGCTGTTATGCCAGTAGTCTCAGTAGTCATTTTCATCTTCATTAATTTCTGTGAATCATCAAAAAAACAAGCAAAAAAGCCAACCTGACTGCTGTTTGAGCTTGTCAAGTTTATGGGTTGACTTCTTGGAGCACGTGTTACAAAAAGAAGTGAAGAATGGTGATAAGGTGACTTGATCCTGCTATTTGTATTTTTAGATAATATTTAAGATTGAGTCTTGTCATTCTTGATTAACAGTTTCTTGAAAGGTACATTTTCTGTAAGTCCTTCATATCACTTCCAAGGGGTTGGGATAAAGCATGGAAAATTCCTTAAGCTGTCACCTACCTCTGCAAGCAGGCTCTTCTTCTGAATTATATTCTCTGCATTGGCCTGAATGATATAACTGACCTGCATGTCTCTGGAGAACCTGAAGCTTCACTGAAAATGTTTCTTGCACGTTCATCGCTATTAAGTTGTGCTTGAACAGCAAAGCTTTATTCAGTACTTGTAAGAAATGTTCTTTCTGCAAAGCTGTTCCTTCCAGGCTAAACTCCTACAGCATTGTTTGACTGGTGAGCTAAGGTAGCTGCTTCTACCCCAATAAGCTAACAGACACCCTCAGCCAACTAACCTGCTTTTGCAGCACGTTGTTTTCAGTTCTTTGAGAAATAAACAGATTCTGATATTTATTTTTTTTTTCCCTAACGCTATTTTATTTTTCCATTTTCCAGCTGTAGAATAGTCCCTGGAGAAGGCCTTTCCATCAGTGCAACAACATTTCTTAGCCTCTTTCATTATGGTAGCCCATTGCACAAAGAATGAAAACCACTGACCTGATCCTAAATTTTGAAAACACCTTTTCCTCTATATACTACCTGAAACTTCCTTTTTATGTCTGAAGCTATAAAACAAACAAGCTTTACCTAAAAGTGCTGCTGCAGTAAGAAAACTTACAAGTGCTGAAGAAACCTACTTCAAATATAATGATCACCATATTAGTTTATGGTCTACTAGAAATGTTCAGATGGAGGAATTTCTTATTGCAGATGCTCATTTTTGTCTGATTGTTAAACCTCTGCACTTTTGATATTTTGATATTTTTCTTTAGCTTCTTTAATTCCTTTTGTAGAATGATTTATATAAATGCAGTGGTTTGTGCTCATAGTCTCTCTCCAATTTGGGCTTGTGATATTTGACTTCTGCATCAGCATGTGGCAGAGATTTTTTGAGGACTCTAGGTTGTAGTTAGAAAAGAGTTTCAACAAAAAGCAGGAGCTCTGCTAAACTGTGCTGTGCTTCAGCAGCTTTTTATTATAAAATATTAAGCTTTATATGTCTAAATTACTGATTTTTTTTTTTTAACTGCCATGTTAATTAAGAAATCCAGGGTATTCAAATTCTGGGGTTTTTTTCATATTGTATTATTATTCTTAGGAATAGTTCAATGTAACAAGAAGAAAACTTGACTCTGCTCTGGTTAAAACAGTAATAGGCACTTGAAAAATATTAAAGTAGTATTACCTATAAATTCCAGAATTCCTGGGTTCTAGGAAGTTGAAGTATTATTGATTAACAGAATTTTATACAACTATACCAGTTAAATTCCAAATTGGAATTGTTTTGTTACTTTTTCATTTTATTGTGCCAAATTATGGTACATCTAGAAAGTAAAATTCTAAAGTTGTCAATGATAGGGTGTTATATATCAGCGCCTTTCTGTCATTAATTATTGCCAGTAGTGCCTTTAATCGTTTTAAGGGAGACTCTTAGAATAGCTTAGTCCAAGTCCTGTAACTTAGAATAAATGGAAAAGCTGTTTTGGAATTTATTGAAGACATGGAGCAATAAGTGAAACTGTGTGAACTCCCCCTTCGCACGTTTTAATGGGTAGTCTTACATAGAGATTATATATTCAAGGAATTGTAACAAATTCTGTTAGTCAGTGATATTTCATCAGGCAAATCCTTGCAAATTCAGGGCTGTAGAGGAAAAAAAAACAAAAACAAACAACAAAACAAAACCATCAAACTAAACAAACCCAAATACACTGTGGGAACCAAACAGACTCATGTTGAACAAAGAAGCAAGATATATTAACACATCTGTGATAACAGTACAGAAAGCATATTGGGATTGCTGGTATTACGTTAGCTTTGTTGGTGGTGGATGCATTTAACTATAGTATTGTTTGCGAATGTGAACAGCAAAGCATTGATATCTTCTCTTGCATGTTGTATCTAATTGTAATTTCAGGAAACAGAAACAGAGAAGTGCATCAACAAGCTGTGCCTATTGCTCAGCTGTTTGTTGAGGCTCACATGAATGATTAAATTGGTACTTGCTGAGGGGGAGCATTCCCACTACTCAAAAAAAGTTCAAATTGAAATAATATTGACAGTGGGGAAAAGATTTCTGTTTGCTGGAAAGAACATTATTATTCCTAGACGTGGGGACTTGTACTTCCATTTCTGTTACAGTATTGATTCATAAGAAATATTGTTACATTTAAAATAACTACATTTGTATGTGGGTATTTATTTGGAATGATGTCCAAGTACTGTATTATGTTTTATGTGCATTACCTTTTAGTGGTGGATTGGTCTCCATTTAACATCATATGCATGTATTCCTGCCAAGTAACCTTTACACAGATCTGGAAAAAAAAGTAAATAAAAAAAAAAACGACCAACAAAAAAACACAAAAAAAAAAGAGAATGTGGAAACTTCTGTGAAGTGTAACTGTGTGTCCATGGGTGACCTGAGGGGTAAAGAGGGCAAAACCTTACTTCCAAATTAATAGAAATATGTTTAATGTAGGAAAGATCTGCCTGCGTAAAGGTAGTCACATCGGCAGTATCAATAAAAGAAAACAGGAATTGCATTTTCTGCTTGGTGTTTTTGCTTTGAGGCAGCATCATTTCAATTAGTCTTCCTGAGCCATTTTCAGTGTGGGGCTAAAGAAATGTTAATTTTTATCTGAGAGAAACTAAAAACATAAACCTCACTTTTCTGCAGGTCTAGAAAACTGATTACTTCTGCTCATATTTACCCTGTGTGCTGTTCCATGAGATTCTCGGGGACTAGCTTTGGCCCTGATCAGACTGGTTTAATCTGTTTCACTGAACAAGCATGCAAACACTCGTATACTAGTACACAAACTAGTACAGGGGAGAGTAGGACTAACGCTTTTGGTGGCAGTGGTGACAAGTCTTCCTGAAGTTACATCTTAATTTCTCATATACTCACCAAAATGTATTAAGATGTTGTTTGTCCAGTAGAATTGACAAACAACCCTGAAGGAGTATGCTTACAGTCTTGAGGGTGAGGCTGAGGTTTGCCCCATCAATACAAGGATATTCCTTGATTGATGGAATATGGTTCTATACTATAGTTTAACAACTCTTCAATCCCCACGTGGGATTCCTAGAACTGTTTTGTTTATTGTTTATATTCCTGGTAGCAGTGAGTTGCATTAAACCAGCTAATCTGGGACTCTTCATCAGGGACTGCAGTGGTAGGACAAGGGTGAATGTCTTTAAACTGCCAGAGGGGAGCAGGAGCTCTTCCCTGTGAGGGTGCTGAGGCGCTGGCCCAGGGTGCCCAGAGAAGCTGTGGCTGCCCCATCCCTGGCAGCGTTCAAGGCCAGGTTGGACACAGGGGCTTGGAGCAAGCTGCTCTAGTGGAAGGTGTCCCTGCCCGTGGCAGTGGTTGGAACTGGTTGAGCTTTAAGGTCCCTTCCAACCCCTTCTGTGATTCTAATAAACATGATTTATATTGTTACTGGAGAGCAATGTGACAGTTTTTACTTAGGCATTGAGAATATTTTTTGAATTGTGTGCAATAAATTATCTGAACGTATTTGCTAGGATACTTGCCCTGGTTGTGCAGTTCTGCATTTGCTGTAGTGGAAGCTTTATCTGCAGAGTGATCTAAGGGAGAAGTATCTTGTAAGTATCTATATGCATACAAATGACAGAAGAACAAGAACAGACCTGCTGAAATAGTACAACAGTGTGATTCAAAAATGCTTTATTAAGAAAATGAGAAAAGAGAAGGAGAATATTTAGTTTAAAAGCTTGTTTAGTGAATGGCTCCATTAAAACATTAATGTCTTTGACTCTTTCTGTTTAGGGAAAAAATGCAGTACCTGGAGGGAATGTCACCTGTGCTGAGTGGGGCGGGTGGGTCACCAGCTGCATTCCAGGCTGCAGATGTTGCTGGATTTAGTCTCCAGGAAAGGAATCTGCCTGTGAATGTAACACTCCTGGGTTCTGTGGCTTCAGTAATTCATTAGTGGTTGGTTGTTTCATGCAAGTAAGGCTTGAAAACAAACTCGTAACTTCCCAGAGGAGGAACAGGGCAGAATTCAGATGGGCTTAAGAGGCCTAAAGATGAAGAGAAGCAGACCTGAAAGTCCCCATGTAGCTAGTTTCATGAGATTAAGGCAAAGAAAATTAGACATAGGTGCTTTTTGGAGATGCCACTGGAAAAGATGGTAAGATGCACAGATATTTACAGAAGTTAGTTTCAAAAATAATTCATATACTTATGGGTTTTTTTTAAGGCTGATGGTGTAGATTGACCTACAGAACAAGGAAAAGGTATTTTTCTACCCAAAGACAAAGCAAAACCAAAGTAAAACTGTGAAGATCACTTCTGTGAGCACAAAACCAAGCAAAGCAGCTAATTAATATGATTATTTTGAGTATATTATCATTATGTTGAATGTTTATCTACAAAAGCTTCAAGTGCAAACATTCATTAGTGGTTGCTGGGAAAATCACTCAGGTACAAACTACTCAAAAGATTACTTCATCCTGTGCCTTTCTTTTCTTCCAAGAGGCGCTGACCTTTCCCACTAAAGGAAATTTCACTGCTTCTCGGTGAAAGGGCAAATTTCCACAAGAAGGGGCTATCGGAACTGCAGAGTGAACTTTCTTTCCTGGGATACTGAGCATGGTATCTCCAAGGAAATCTGAGCCCTCAAGTCATGCACTGGAACTGCATCAGCCAGCCTCACCACATTTGACCCTGTGACTCTGGGACACACTGTTCTTAAATCATCAGATTTGATAATTATTAAGTGAAGTGGTTGTAAAATGTCTTGGATCCAGTAACCGTGTTAACAACAACAAAAGTCAGCAAACAAGCTGTATCCAGTTCTAGGTATTAAAGTAGACTCTTTCTGAGGCCTCCAACACAAGAGGGACGTGGAGCTGTTGGAGAGAGGCCAGAGGAGGCCATGGAGATGCTGCGAGGGCTGGAGCAGCTCTGCTCTGGAGCCAGGCTGAGAGAGCTGGGCTGGGGCAGCCTGGACAAGAGAAGGCTCCTGAAGGGGAGACCTGAGAGCAGCTCCAGTGCCTGAAGGGGCTGCAGGAAACCTGGAGAGGGGCTTGGGACAAGTGCCTGTAGGGACAGGCCAAGGGGAATGGCTTTAACCTGCCCGAGGGGAGACTGAGATGAGCTCTTAGGCAGAAGCTCTTCCCTGTGAGGGTGCTGAGGCGCTGGCGCAGGGTGCCCAGAGAAGCTGTGGCTGCCCCATCCCTGGCAGTGTTCAAGGCCAGGTTGGACACAGGGGCTTGGAGCAAGCTGCTCTAGTGGAAGGTGTCCCTGCCCGTGGCAGGGGTTGGAGCTGGATGAGCTTTAAGGACCTTCCAACCCAAACCAGTCTGGGATTCTATGAAGTAAAGAGAATACACCAAGTGGCAGCAGTATAGGGAAACCTGATTTTTGTGGTAATGCTGGAGAAAACCTAGAGAATTTTTAAAAAATATTTAAAACCTCCTATATACTTAACTAGAACGGTGTATGTGATGCAGATCAAAGCTACAGACGTATGCAAAGTTTGAGTTAGCCACATATAGAAGTGAATTTAAGCTAGGCTGAGCTAGAAGTATGTACACTCAGATTTCCACTAGCTTAGCAAGTAAGAGTCAAAGTTGCTTAGCTAATTTGAAAATTACTTTCTGGGCAGAACCCACAAATACTATGGCATTCTCTGAATCAAATGTTGGGTTAGAAGGACACCCTGGGAGGCTAAACCTGTACCTGCCCAATTCTCCTCGTTGCAAGAATTTTGAGCAACTTTTTATTTTTAACATAATTCTGAAGTTTTACTTGCAAAATTGTCAGCAGGTGGATACGTGAATTGTCACTGTCCTGTGCTAAAAACATCGCCACATGTTTTAACAGGCAGGAGAAACTTCAAAACTGACATGTAGTACATGGCTTTAAAAGAGATCACACGTATTGAGCAGGTTTTTATAAAATAAATACTTGCTAGCATGTGTATAGTTGGTTATTGTCAATAATCTCAAATGTTACTTAGTTTTTCCTGTAGTCCTTCTACCCTGGATTTCAAATTAATGCAGCTCAAGGCTTTATCAGGGGATAAAGAGTAAAGTATTTGATCCAGCAGTAGAACATTACCTTCCTGTTGCTGCCAAATGAACAATGAGCCTTTATTAAGCCAATCATCGAAGTCTTGGAGAACAGGAATTAATATCTCTCTGTTTAGAAGACTGATGTCTCTGTCGGGGTGAAGACTGTTGTAACTATGCCTATTGACACCTTTGGGCAGAAGGATTTTAAGTGTGATCTTACCTGGGTCTAAAGAATAGCCTAAACTTGGGCCTTATTAGGATGGGGAAAGCATTAATTCTTTTTAGCTGGCAGTCATGCGGTTAGTAACAGCTGTCAAACCCAAGATCTGATTTGTACAAAGAAGTTCCTTGTGTGTTTGACTTTCTCCATAGGGACAGAATTCCTAGCTATCAGCTATGACCAGTATATATCGCCTAAGTATGCTCTTCATACTTAGGGTGGCAAGGTTTTATTTGGTCAGTGCAAATACTTGAGCACAGGGCCAGGACCCTGCTGGCAGGGAGTCACCTACGTGGTTTTAGCTGCAGGTACTGCTCGTTAGTTTATCTTGGGTACTCACCACTACAGCCTGACGTGACTGAGGTCTGATGTTCTTCACATCTGTTGGCAAAAAGTTAGTGTTTGCTCTTTCCTCACTCCAAATGCTTTAATCTGAATAACAAATCATGTAACTGATTCAAAATAGTGTGCAATAGTCAGCCTATAAAGATGCTATCATATTGGAGGATGAAGCAGTTACCCAGCGGAACTGGTAATGAAGTTGCACATCTGACCATGCTCGAAGAGCTGGGACAAAAGAAAGCTGACTGCACTGTATCACTGCTGTGAAGCATCACACCAAGCACCCAGTCTTCTGTCTGTTCTCCCTGTCTTTGGCCTTCAGATCTTGCTGCAAACGTGAGCAGTGCTTTTCTCTTGCATGTTTGTGTCCTGCTGTTGTGTTTGTGTGAGCAACTGTTAGGTACCAGTTTTGGTCTTTGCTGACATTAGGAACAAGCTAGAACAAGAACGAATCCAATTCTCAGGCACCATGTACTTTGTTTTTTAGTTGCAGGAGCAAAGCCATCTTGCTCTGTAAGACCTACTGGCTCTTTTACAGGACACTTCATTGTGGCTGGCACCTTCCATTCTGCTGCTGGTAATTCATTAGAATGATGGTACCTTGTAAATGTCTCTAAATTGCACCTTTCTATAGGCTGCCAATGAAATTACATGCCTGATGTTGCACCACCACTAGTGGGTTTTAGGGTTTGTGGTTTTCTTAAGTTGCTGCTTTTAGGTATGATGCTAGAATGGGCAGCGAAGAGAAACAGTCTGCTCCTCATCTTGGCCTTTTACCTTTTATTCTTTTGTGCTCTATGGATAAAAGCCTGGGTGGTTGTTTGGGTTCTTTCCCTTCTTTGAATAACACGAACCTGTCCCTCCCCCTAGCCCTTCCCTCCATGCCCTGATTGGATCTTGATTTTCTGTAAAAAAAAAAAAAAAAAAAATTTTGCT